CATTTGATGACAGTCTGTCTGTCCCCCGCGGCTGGGAGCATCTCAAACCAGGCCAGGTTCGGGGCGCCGCCTTTCCTCTCTCCTTGCTGAGACAAACAGAGGTAGTGATTAAGAGCGCGTAATTGCCTCCCTCCTGCCTGGGAGGTAAATACCTTTCTGTAGGGTCCTACCGTTCAGGACTGTCTTTCCTAGGCTGTGAGCTGCGTGAGGGCAGAGGCTGTGTTCTTGTCAGGAACGCTTGAATCCCTACTATGTGCTCCGTCAGTACTATGTAGGGACAGAGTACGACGTGGAGGTGGAGGCTGTGGACCCTGAAGGCTAGAGAACGTCAGCCCCTCCCCCCGTAATGTTGGCCCCGTCCTCTGGAATGTCGGCCCCGCCCAAGGAATTTCTGTGCCTCCAAGGTGGTGGGTCTTTGTCTCCTTCACCTTTTATCTTTAGCGACTAGAACCACGCCCTTCACCTGACAGGCACTCAATAAACGATGGATTAGTGCAGTCAGACCGCTCAAGTCTTGACTACCACTCACTCGCTGTGTGACCTTTGGTAAGTGACTTTACCTCTCTGAGCTTCAAGTTTCCTCATCAGTGGGCATAATCGTACTACCGCCCTCACAGGGTCGAGATGTGGAGTTCACACGTTTATAAAGCTCTGGACAGGACCTGGTGCCCAGGACACGATCAATACTTGTGAGCTGTCCTTATGGGATGAATGAAGGGGTGAATCGCCTTCTTAGATTCTCATAGAAGTCTTATTAGAGAAGGATTTTCAGTCCCTAGTTGGTAGAGTAAGAATCCGAGGTTTAGGGCATCGTCCACCTCCCGCCCCCCATCCCCTTCACAGAGGCTGATCGAGGAAATGCTGATTCCCGCGCTGGGCCACGCGGAGAGGCTGCTGTCTCTCTGGGTCTCAAAACCCACCTCACCAACCATGCGAGACTCTCCCCAATCAAAGACTAGGATCTCCCCAGGAGAATCCTGAAGCGGCTGTGAAAACCACAGAGTCTCCTTAAAAGACTGCTTAACCAAATTCATTAGAAAATCAATGCAAATTAAAAACCTCACCGGGATCCCACTAGTCACCTCTGAGAAGGCGGAGATCAAAGAGTCTGACATCGCGGTTGCGTTGCGTTGGCGAAGCTCTGGGAAACCGCCTTTCGGAGCTCCCTGTGGAGGAGTCTAGCAACATCTAACACACCCTCTGACCCTGCCAGTCCCCGAGGAAAGATCTATTCTAACAGATGACAAGACTGATAATAGCAAATACGTCACACCTCCGAGGTGCCAGGTATGAACTAAACACTTTATCCACATCAATACACGTAATCATCCCAGTGACTCTTTGAGGGAGGTGCTGTTATATCTCATTTCACTTAGGTGGAAACTGAGGCATAGAGAGTGAAAGCAACTTGACAGGTGTCACCCAGCTATAAGCAGCTGTCATGCCATTCTGCCTTCTTGGAGTGTTCACCAAAGTACACAGGTACAAATGTAAAAGGATACTATTGTTGGAGAGGCAGAGAGAACAGCTTTTTATACTATCCACTTTTTTTGTTGTTGTTAAATTCCTCATTAAAATCTGTCCATGCGGACTTCCCTGGTGGTGCAGTGGTTTAGAATCTGCCTGCCAATGCAGGGGACGGGGGTTCGATCCCTGGTCCGGGAAGATCCCACATGCCGTGGAGTAACTAAGCCTGTGCGCCACAACTACTGAGCCTGCATGCCACAACTATGGAAGCCCATGTGCCTAGAGCCTGTGCTCCACAACAAGAGAAGCCATTGCATGAGAAGCCTGTGCATCGCAAGGCAAAGGGTACCTCCCGCTTGCCGCAGCTAAAGAAAATCTATGCTCAGCAACGAATACCCAATGCAGCCAAAAATAAATAAATTTTTAAAAAGTAAAAGTACTTTCCTTTAAAAAAAAATCTATCCATGCTTTCTTTCAAATTTTAGTGCACTTACATTATTGTTCTTTTTCTAGACTCTTGAATTGTTTTGCTCATCTCCTTTCATGTGAGCATTTTTCCGAATTAGCATCTGAAGCTACAGCTCTTCCTCAGAGTATAGCTTTGGCCCCACCTCACAAGTTTTGTTGTGTAGTGTGCTCATTTCTAAATGAATGGCACTCCAGTTTTATTCTTCCATTTAACCCAAGAGTTACTTAGAGAGTGTTTTGAAATGTGCAAAACAAACTGAGTGTCTGTGGTTATTCTTCGTTATTAATTTCTAATTTTGAATTGGCCTGCATTATTTCTGCTTTTGGCAATCAACCTGTGCTGTGTTTCTGACCCATAGTCTATTCTTGGGAAGTGGGGAGAATATCATTGCAGGACTCTGATTTTTTTTTTAATGCTATAAAGTTCATTATTGGCACAACTAGGAAATTTTGAATTTGGATTGTTTATTAGATAATATCAATGTTAAAGTTCTTGAGGGTGGTAATGATATTATGGTTGTGGCACAGAAATGGCCTTGTTCTCAGGAGACACAGATTAAAGAATTTACAGATGAAGTAGCATGAGGTCTTCACCTATTTTCAAAAGGTTCAAAAATTTCTAGAGGTGCTTCTGACCACTGGGTCCATCAAGGGACAGCGACTGTGCTGAGGGCTCCTTCCTTCAGCCTCCCAGAACTCACATCTCCCTATGGGTCTGTTCATCATGGTGGATGTACCATGGTATGTATGTGTGTGTATGGAGAGAATAGATAGATAGATAGGTGTATATTTAAACAGAAAAAGAGAGAGGTACACAGATAAGTAGAGAAAGAGAGAGAGAGAGCGAGAGCAAGAGAATATATGGGAATGGGAAAATATTAACATTTGATAAATTTAGTTGAAAGGTGTATTTTATTATTCTGGTAACTGTAGGTTTGAGATGTTTCCAATGAAAAATTTTAGAGGAAAAAGGCAAGGCAAGGCAAAAAAAAAAAAAAGATTTACAAGAAAAGTTAGGATAGAGGTTATCTCTGAAGGAGATGGAGGAGTCATTGGGAGGGGGAGGGAGAGGAGTGCTAGGGTGGCTGACAGTGCTCTATTCCATGACCTGCAAACTTGCATGGATATTCGCTTCATGATAAATCAATTCCTCCACTTCTGTTTTTGTATTGTTCAAAATGTGGGTTATATGGGATAACTTTAAGTTTCAAAAATAGCACTGAAGCATATTCAAAGAAATCTAAATGCTCATCAGTAGAGGGTTGATGAAATAACTTTGGGCACTGTACATCCAGACCAGGAAGTACTTGACCACCAGCACTGAAAAATAATGTCAGACCTCATGTATTTATATGCAACCATCTCCAAGACATAATTTTAATAAAACACATGCACACACACAATGTTAGATAATGTATACACATGTTCTGTTTGAAAATGCTTATGCATGCATACCTAGGATATCTGGAAGGATACACAAGAAATTGACAACAGTCTCTAGTGAAAAAAAGTTGGAACGGAGGAGCTGGAAGGAAGGGCAGAATCATTTTCTTTTTTACTCTGTGCCCACATTATCTTAAAGTTTTATTTTTTGATAAACTAATTTCCTAACTCAGTCATTGTATCATTTTGTCCTCTCCTTATCCATGAAAGATGAAGGCATTTGGTCTTATTTTACAGAGTCGGGAGAACTGAGGCTCCAGGTGGGAAGTTCTCAGGGCTAATCAGAGTAGGACCAGAGCGCCTTCTTCTGATTATGTACAAGTTGGATGAGAGCTTTTGATTAGGATGAAACAAATGTTTGCCTCTACCCAGAACCAAGGGAATGTTCCACTGTGACCAAGGACCACCAGGATTTCTGTTCCCAGAAAGGAGTATTTATGATATGCATCAGTAGGTCTGCTGTTGGTTTCAAGTAACAGAAAACCTGACTCCAAATGGCTTCAACAATAAGGATATTTATTATGTTGCTCACACAAGTTCCGGAGGTTGGCAGCATAATAGTTAAGGTATTAATTCAGCTGCCATAACAGAGACACAAAAAAACAACAGTTGCTTCAATGAGCTAGAAATTGAAATCTCTCTCTTCACAGCGTGGATGTAAGTATTCCAGCCCTAGTATGGGGACACAGTCACTTTCCACATAGTTCACCACCACAAATGCTGTGGCAGGTTGCAAAAATGGCCCCAGTTCTGCACACTTTCCTGTATCTATGCTCCTTTGCAATGTCACTTTGCAAATTTTCCCTTTGAGAGGTGGAATCTATTTCCCCACCCCTTGAAAATAGTCACGTTGTGCAAAGTGTCAAGTGTAGGTCTTATGCTTCCCCTGTTGCCCTTGGAACGCTCCCCAGCCACCATGTGAAAAAGCCCCAGTCAGCCTGCAGGACGATGGGAACTACATGGCTTGATCAATCCCATCATCCTAGCTGAAGGTTAGCTGAGGTCAACAACCTAGCTGAGGTCAACAACCCCTCCCAGAAACAGAGTCACTTAGCTGACCCATAACTGACCACAAATGCCTGAGGAAGCCCAGGCAAAACAGAAAACTGCTCAGCTGAGCCCAGCCCAAGTTGATGACCCAAAGAAATCATAAAAGGTTATTATTTTAAGCCTCTAAGTTTGGAGACGTTTGTTACACTGCAAAGCTAACTGATACATCTGCATTCTAGACAATGGAAAGGGGGAAATGAAGGAATGGAGAGCAGGCATCTTCCATTAAGGGCACTTCAAGGAAATTACACTGATTACTGTCACTCACATACTACTGGCCAGAAAGTAGTCACATGGCCATATCTAGTTGCAAGGGACACTGGGAAATGTAGTCTTTTTCCCTTGGCTAACCACGTAAATAGTTTAAAACAAGTAGGGGTCTTACTATAAAGGAAGGATAGGATGGATACTGGGGGAAAACTAGATGTTTATAATGAAAAGATTTAGATAAGAGATTGCCAGGAAGACTTCCTGAAAGAAGAGGCAGGATTTGACAGAGTCTTGGAAGTCAGCCTAGGGAAGGGGCTGCAAACTAAGCAGGAGGATTTCCAGCTTGTACGTGAAGGTTTCCATCATACCCTGGGGGCTTCACCTCGGGGACAGGCTGACTGAAAAACCCCTCCTCACCAAATGCTCTGGCCAAGGCAAAAGGCAAAGACTGGAAAAACTTTTCTTGGCAATCTCTGCCAATGAAGAGGAAAGGGTTGAGGCAGTTGTTGAAACAGCCCAGGGAGAAGGTAGACCAGAGGATGAGCAGTGTCTTAGGGTCAGGTTCGTTCTGCGGTTGCTACAATTGGACCAAGAGCTCCATGTTAAACAGGAACCAGGAAATGAAAAAGGCGCTCACCAACACCAACAGCAACTTCTTTGGCTGGCTGGCATGGACCCAGCCCTTCTGCTGGAACCTGGTGCAGGTGAGGTGGGCACAGGTACTGATGATCACCAAGGGCACCAAGAAACCCAGCAGGAAGTGAATGATGGTCACAGTCATTTTCCTCTTCAAAACCACTCACTTCCTATCCTGGGAGCTGGATTCTCCTTCCCCTTATTCTCTATGTCAATATTGAAGCAGCAGTAGACACATCCTTTCTGTTCTTCAGTGGTCTGGAAAATCACGTATGGAGAGCAAGTGACAGCAGCCAGCCAGCCAGCGTGCTTGCTGCACAGTGCAGTGGTTTCAGGACCAGACGGGGTAGAGGAAAGAGAGGCAATGGTCCAGAGAGATGAGGACCAAGAGGCAGATGCTGGTAAAGAAGCTGAGGGCCAAGAAGACCATGTAAAGCTTGCAGGCCACATTGTTGAGGAGCCACTGGCCAATTGCTACACTCTATATGGTGATAAGCAGGGACAGTAAGACAGTGAAGTCAGCAAGGGCCAGGTTGAAGAACCAGATGGTAGTAAAAGTTCGTGGCATTCGGAGAACAGTCATCCAGAGCGCCAGCCCATTCACCACTACTCCAACCACAAAGGACACAGACATGATAACTGTGGTCAGCTGGTGGAGGCACTCCATCCCCTGAGGATGGCATTTGGGAGCAGAGGTAGAATTCATCTTTCTAGAAGAGGAAGGACCACATATCAGAGCTACAAGTTACCTTTCACTGCTATTCAGAGCCCATGGCCCCCTCTGAGACCCCTTCATTCATTTTTCCATTCAATATATTTTTACTGAATGCTTATTATGTCACTCTGATACTGCTCTAGGTACTGGAACTGAGTCATGTAACAAAACAGGCCCTCATAGGACTTGCACCCTAATGGGGGATGTCAGATGGGAAACACAGTGCATATAATAAATAAATCCATGATGTACAACTTTAGAAGATTACAAGTGCTGTGGGAGAAAAGTAATACAAAATAAAAGAGAGTGACTTTCGATTATGTCAGAGTAGCTTTGTGAGACAGTCTGGCAGATTAAAAAAGTTATAAAATCTGTACGAAACTTTAAAAATCATCCACTGTTTGAAGACGTTGGAGAGTGATCAAAATCAAGCATAAACTGGAGGAGAGTCTACCCTTGATAGGGTAACTGCATGAGGTCATAGTTGTGGGTTTGCATCTTTTGGGTGTGAGCATTTTGCAACTGCTGCATCCTCATTGGTTTCAGGTGTGAGAGGAGAGAGCTATGAGCTGGTACATCAGCCAGAAAAATAGTGAGAAGGGAGGGAATTGTGGAAGGAAGGGAGCCCCAGGGAAGGGGCTCCAAAATCTGCATATGAAATCTGTCCACATCCTTGACTGACTAAATTATTTATATTCAGGGGAGATCCCAGGATGCCTGGTGAAAAAGCAACAGCTGGAAGTTGAAAGAACTAAGCAAAGATTTCAGTTGTCGCCCACCACAGAGATTAGAGTTTGGAGTTTGAGTCCAGCCAACTTAATTGCCTGCTGGGACAAGAATCACTCTTCGGAGGAACAAAACACAATGCAAAGTCTCTACGATATATCATGCATAATGCCAGTATCCAATTAAACACAACTACAGGGACCACCTGGTGGTCCAATGGTTAAAAATCCACCTTCCAATGCAGGGGATGCAGATTCGATCCCTGGTCGGGGGACTAAGATCACACATCCTGCAGGACAACTAAGCCTGCGTCCTGCAACTACTGAGCCCACGCACTCTGGAGCCTGTGCACCACAACTAGAGAGAAGCCACAATGAAGACCCAAAGCAGCCAAATAAATAAATAAATAAATATTAAAAACCACTACACGTGTGAAGTAACAGGAAAGCATGAGCCATATTCAATAAAGAAAGGAGTCAATAGAAAACAAATCTGACAGAGTTCCTTGGTGGCCTAGTGGTTAGAGTTCCAGGCTTTCACTGCCATAACCTGGGTTCAATCTCTGGTCAGGGAACTGAGATCCCACAAGCCATGCAGCATGGCAAAAAAGAAAGAAAGGAGGGAAGGAAGGAAGGAAGGAAGAAAGAAAGAAAAGAAAGAAAAAGAAGGAAAGAAAGAAAACAAATCTGAGATAACATGGATATTGCAATATGCAAAGACATTAAAGCACCTAATACAAATATTCAAAGACTTAAAGGAAAAGATATGCATAATTAATAACCAGTTGGGGAAACAGTAGGAAAGAGAAACTGGAAAAAAAAAAAAGAGTCAAATGGAAATTCTAGAACTGAAAACTATAACAATTGAAATGAAAATTTTACTGACTGGACTTCACAAAAGATTGGAAATGACAGGACTTGCCTGGTGGTCCAGTGGTTAAGACTCTGCGGTCTCAATGCAAGGGGTTCAATCCTGGTCTGGGAACTAAGATCCAGCATGCCACATGGTGTGGCCAAAAAAAGAAAAAAAAATTGGAAATGACATCAGTGAACTAGAAGATAGATTGATAGAAATTATCCAACCTGAAGAACAGAGAGAAAAAATATTAAAGAAAAGTAAATAGAACCTCAGACACCTGTAAAATAGTATCAGTCAGTCTGCCCTACAAATAAGTGGAGTTTCAGAAGGAGAACAAAAGAGAATGGGACAGAAACATATTTGCAGAAATGATGGCTGACAATTTACTAAATTTGCTGGAAGACATTAACTTACAGATCCAAGAATTTCAATAAACTCCAAGCAAAATAAATAAAAGAAAATCACTCCCAGGCACACCATAATCAAACTGTTGAAATCCAAAAACAGACAGCCTTGAAAGCAGCCAGAGAAATATGACACATTACATGCAGAAGAACAATGCTGTGACATTTGAGCAAAGATTTGAAGGAGGTGAAGGAGAAAGTCATATGAATATCTGGAGGAAGAGTATTGCAGATAGCAGTAATAGCTGTGCAAAGACCCTAAGGTAGGCCCATGCCTACTATGTCCAAGGAACAGTGAGAAGGTCAGTGAGCAATGGGGAGAGGGGTTGGAGGTGAGATGAGACAGGGCGTGGGGTCCATTCATGCAGCATCTTGTGGGCCACAGTGAGGATTCCCCCAGATTTTACTCTGAATGAGGTAAGAGCCATAAGAGACTCTTGACAAGAGGAGGGACAGGTTCTCACTTAGATTTTAACAATCACAGCAGCTTCTGGGTTGAAACTAGGCTGAAGGGGGCTGGGATGGAAGCAGGAGGCCAGTTGAGGAGGCTTCTGCAAAAATCCAGGTGAACAATGATGGTGACTGGGATCATGGTAATAGATATCAGAGGAGGTAGTAAGAAACAGATCCTGGATGCATCTTGAAGGCAGAGCTGACCAGATTTGCTAACGGGCTGGATGTGCAGAGTGAGAGGAATAGCAGAGTAAGGGGTGACCACAGATGGTTGAACAGCTGGAAGTTGGAGCTCCATCAACTGATGGGGAAGACAGTGGCGGGGAGGACAGGTTTGGGGTAAGACCAGGAGTTGAGTGTTGGACACGTTGAGTTTGAGTTTGCCTGTTAGACATCTAAATAGGCAGTTAGATATTGGCAGTGAGATTACTGGAGAGATTTTCCAGCTAGAGACACGTGGGCATCGTTAGAATTTAAATGTTATTTACAGCCTTGAGCCTGAGTGTGAGCACCAAGGGTTAGTGTAAAGAGAGAAGAGACATCTAGTGTTGGAGAAAGCATGTGAGCTTAGACATGGGACAGTCACAGGTTGAAATTCTAGTTGAGATGCTGGCTGTGTGATCTTGGGCAAAGAAATTTCCTTCTCTGAGCCTCAGTTTGCTCACCTGAGATAGGGGTATAGAATCCTTGAACACCTCTCTCTCTTCCCCCACCTCCAATTCATCACAAAGCCTAGTTGATTTTGCCTCCAAAAAGCCTCTTGTGTTTGTGCACTTCTTCCTGTCTCCCCAGCCCCTCCGTCCAAGCGCCCAGCATCTCCCACCTACTACTCATCTTCCTGCTCCTATACTTTCACTCCCACAAGACGTTTGTCACACTGAAGCCAGAATGATCCTTCAAAAGTCCAACTGAAAAACTGTCGTGGGTCCTCATCGCTCTTGGGATAAAGACCAGTGTCTTTGACACAGCTTCTGAGGCATGCATGGTGGGGCCCCTGCCACCCCCTCCAGAATTCTCTCTCACTCACTACATTGCAGCTTCCCTGCTCTTGTTTCCCTTACTGAAACTCACCGTGTTCCCTTCCACCTCCAAGCCTTTGTACATACTGTTCCTTCTGTCTGGAACATCCTTCCTTTCCCTCTACTTTTTAAAAGTTTACTCGTTCTTTAGCTCTCAGCAAAAATTTCCCTCCCTCCCCCAAAGCCTTCCCTGACCACTTTGACTGAAGCAGACTCTCTTGCAGAAGCTTCTCATCTATTAAGAGAGAGCGATCAGTAGCAATTAGACCCGAGTTTGTTGGATTATCTGATTCTCATCTGTCTCCTCCACTAGACTCTGAGCTCCATAGAGTTGAATCAAGCCCCTAGCACATAGCAAGCACTCAATAAATAACTGACAAATGATTGGCTAATATGCATTGAGCCCATAGTGTATGTCACACACTCTAAGCCCTGGGGGTGCAGCCGTGATGAAAATAGTCAACTATCTCTTCCTTGGTGGAACAGACATGAGAGGCATGAGAAAGTTCTTCACCCGGAGGAAGTGTTCCAGAACCTTAACCTCTTTTGCCCCTCCTCCTCTTCATACACCCCTGCTGCATGTCAACTGTCCTTGCTCTCAAACCCCCATCCTCTGCGCTCCCTGAGGCCCTTCCCTCCAAATCCCAGTCCCGTGTCACCGTTTGCTGTGTCCGAGGGCAGGGGTCAGGCTGAGAGAGCTCTGTCTGTCTCCTCTGTCTGTCCTGGGAAGTCACCAGCCTTGAGCCCATGTTAGAGTCAGGGGGCGTATGGCCAGAATATGGCCAATGAGTTTGGAGCAGATAAGGTCAAGGAAGGAGTCTTGAGCAAGAGCCGTGGTGGCCCCAGAGATCAATATCAGAGCCCATGAAGGGTTATTAGATGTGGGTTCTGATAGACCCTGGGGGCTGGGAGCTTGGGGGGGGGCTAAGGAAGAGAGGGGCTCCAGAGATATCATTTTGCTGTACCGTTCCAATTCCCCTCATCTGTCCTTTCTAGTATCCCAGCCCCCTGCCCCACCTCAGGAAGAGAACTCAGCCTACTCCTCCCTACGTTAGGGAGCTCCAACTGTCCTTTTCTTAGGAACTGATGGTGGATGTAATAGTGAGTAAGGTTTTTCCTTTTTATAAGCCAACATAAAAAATATGTGTCCTCGCCACTAATTCTCCCAATGCATGTGTGTATGTGTGTGGGGTTGGTGGCCCATAGAAACCCAAGCTCTAAGGTGTGAGTAGTTCCCCAGATGCCCAGGGTCAGTAGGGGTTGTAGCAAAGCCCAGCCCAACCTTCAGAACTGCGCATAGAATCATGACAGAAGACATGGTTGTTGTTTTAAGCCTCTAAGTTTTGGGGTGGTTTGTTTGGTGGCAATAGCTGACTGATACACAGGGGAAACAGCCTCTTTGGTTCAGCCTTCACCGACTATGTGTCAAACACCTGCTGTGTGCCAGACACTGGGCTGCATGTTCGGGAGAACAGGGTAAACACACATGAAC